GGTAGTTTGGCGAATTGGGATTTGAATGCAATTTTATACGTGATCTAATGGGCAGGCGGAGACGCTGTACTTATTATCAGTATCAATAATGTCCTGGTAAGCGCACATCAATCGGATTAGCAACAACATCTCTAGAACAATGATAATCGTCACCATTTATATGTGTCAGCTGGTAAATGCATCGAAGGATCATGTTGGCACGAAACACATTATTCATGTCAAGGTCAGTTATGGATAGTTAAGAGGATGTCCTATAAACAGCACATTTCAAGATTATTATCGGATTTAATTGGATACAAATCAACGTCACAACTTTGATATTTGGAATATCTTGGCCACTTTAAATAATGGCGATCTTGAAGAGGAATATGCTCTCAGACAGCAAAGAGACTTTATCCGTACCCAGAGTTGAAGATTTCGACCAGTAATTATCATGGGATGCTCAAACAATCTATCACAACTCCACTTTTCACCTTGACTGAGCTTGATTCGTTGGTTGGGTGTTCGATCAGGAAGATCTGACAGGAAACCAGACATACAGGGATTACCTACGAGAAGTCGCAAGTGTTCAGATACATCATTGAGAAACAAGTCGGGCTTTGATGCGACAACAACAGGATCAGCGGGTGTAGAAGCAGTGTCAGGAACGAGGGAGGAACGAGACAGGCAGGACAGGACAGAGAATGAATAGCTTCTTGAAGCAGGTTATTTATTTAAGAATAAAAGGGAGGAAAGAAAAGAGAAGATGATTATGAAATATATCTGATAAAGAAAACTGGGAGAAGTGAAATTTATCAGCTATATTTATAGAGAAAGGAAAACAAGAAATTAAATAAAAGAATAAGCAATGACAAAAGTTAGTCATAGCTTATGTGGATCATGACAAAGGATTTAAAGAGCTGACAGATCAATGATGAATATTGAGTCTGAAAGCTGGTTACTCATATTGCATATTTGGGGCATAAAATGTAACAGGATCATGACAAGCAGTTGTATTTGTTGTTGCAGCAGGATCAGTGGCAGGAGCAGAGGTAGTGGCAGAAGGAGAGGTAGAGGCAGGGGAAGAGGTAGAGGCAGGAGCAGGAGCAGAGGCGTCAGCTGCGGTAGCAGTACCATGATGTGCTAGTTGATGTGGCAGGTTCAGTAGGTTCGACAAGAAGTCCGCCGTTATCATCTTTCGCACAACGGGGAGCATGAGGAAAACAAGGTATACAACTTTTCTTGGATTTGTGAAATCTGGAAACGCTGTGGGGAGTGGGATAACCACAGAAATCATAAATAACATCAGAAGGATCCAAAGCTAGTTGAGCTCTGTACTTTTTGATTGCAATTTCAGCCATATATTTACCAATATCAAGAACTGATTTGATTTGGACTTCTGAATACTTAAAGCTACCAGACTTGAAGAAAAGAAGGGCATGCATTATTTATTCATTTTTGAAAGAATATGCTGGATTGTCGTTGACATCACCATTCAAATCAAGATATTCATCATTACCATCATCTCCACCACCACCACCATCAATATCAGAGCCGTTGTTAACCTCGTTAACAGGAACGGGAGGTTTATTAGATTCGCTATTATCATCAGATTACCCTCCGTTGTTAAAATCATTGTTCAAATGGTCAAAGGCATTACGACCATCGAATTCTTCTTCACCATCATAATCATCTTATTGATTTTCATCAAATTTATTTGCTGGTTCAGACAACGGTTCGGCAGTGCGTTCAGGTTGGATTGGTCTAATGTATATTGATGTAAGTAATTTGAACATATTTAACAGCCTTAAATAACTTTACCTTTCAATGGACTTCATATCAGAACTACGAGATTCGCTTAGCGGGATAGTAGGTTGTTCGTCAAAAGTATTCCTAAAACTAATAATGATAAGTACAAACTGACTATTTTTAAATTGATGAAGACGCTCACTTACTGTTGTTGGATGTCATTGGTAGGTAGTGGTCCTTGATTGGACTGAATCGCCTCCAGAAGTTCTAAGTGGTGTCCTGATCTTTGATGCAATTTAAAAGAGTGTCGATTAATTGTACTGTATTTACATAACACACACGTTTGCTCCTGAGGCGGTAAAGCAGGTTTTGCACGGAAATTATTTGTTCCGTGTGTTTTTTTCATACTGTTTTAAAATTAATGTAAGTTGTTTATAATAAAATAAAGAATTTTGATAAAGTGCACTCTAGGGATTGTGTTTGGTTTATATATCGTTCAGATCAAAAAATGTGTTTAATGCTTAGCTTATGCGGACATAAGCTGTCAATTTGATTGGTGCAATAATTTACAAACGTCATTGCGGAACGATATTTTGTCACGCGACCCAACTTTCTTAGGTCGCTTTTCTTTCTCTTACGTATTTGTTTTTAACCGTGGCGTGTCTTCACAAACGCGTGATTATTGCTTGTAATATTATGATGCTTATGAACAATGGTATGTCATAGAACATCTGTCTTAACAATACTATCATAAGGCATTCTACTAATTCTTCTCTCACAATCAATTTAATCAAACTTAAACGCGAAAAAGGTAGCTATTTCATGACTTATGCAATAATATAATCTTCTATCCCCTTTTACTTTCAGGATGTGTATCTATAAAGGTATACTTTATTCTGTACTGTGCTTCCCTGTAATAATATATCATTAACAAACGCCTTTTTATTTTTTTAGAGTCTCTTTTCTTTTTGAAATACCGTAATTAATATCTTGGTGATTATTTTACATCCTAAACTAATACATAACGCGTTTCATTTGTCATAAGATATATCGCGTAAAGCTTCATACAAGGTACTATAATTTTAATATTAATCATTATCCGTTTTACTAACCACATTATTCACTTTATAAATTAGCTCGTGATACTGCTTAAGCACGGATAAAATGTAAGTACAACATCTACCACAGACACTTGAATATCACATTAATACCTTTTTCCGTAGCTTCAGCTCAAACAGAATCAGTTTTGCGTGGGTTTTCTAGCTTGAATTCACTGTCTGCTATACGTGTCATACGTGGCCTGTCTGGGCTACGTGGTCTGCCCTGTCTGTCAAGGCTGAATAGCCTGCCTGGTCGGCCTGCGTAGCCCCGAGGGGTAAACAGGCGCTTTTTGCCGGTTTCTGATTTTGTGGGCCAATTTTTTATATAAATAAATTTCGCTTTTTAAGGCAATTTTAAAAAAAAACTATTTTTGTATTTTGTATTTGTATTTTATTGTTTTGTTTGTACAGCAAGGAAACGTAAACAAAACCCCAAAACCAAAAAGGAAACACTTTTCATATCTATTTTTACTTTTTTTTTTTGGGAAAAAAATGGTCTTGAAATTTGAAAGCTTACACTATTTTCATAAATTATTCGCACAGTTTAAGAAAAAAATTGCTCATTTTTTTTTCACTTTCCGCACACATTTTTTTTTATTTTTTACTCACTTTCGAATTTAATTTTTGCTCACTTTCTGAAAAATATTTTGCTCAGTTTCAGATATTTTTTTTTGCTCAATGTGTGCGAAATATTTTAGAGGGGGTCTTTATTTAAACAGGTTTTGAATTTTTTTTCTGAATAACGGCAGAATCCCTTTAAATCGCTTTATAAAACATTCTGACGTGCTTCGGCAATTCTATTGTTCAGTGTTTCGGCCTCTAAAAGCTTCTCCCGTTTTAATTTACTCTTAAAAACGGACCAAAATTGTTCGATAGGGTTGAGCTCAGGAGAATATGGTGGAAGATAAACACAGCCATACCCACGACTTTCGATAAACTTTCTAATATTATCTGACGTATTGATAGGCGCATTATCCATGATAAGATAATGCCCTTTGAATTCCTCATGACGATCCATCACATCAATTGTACTGGCGATAAAATTAATATAATGTCCGGTAACAGTCCCAGTGGTTTTCTGCATCTTACTACCACCAGCTGTTTTTCTTTTCTTTGCAACCGTTGAGTATGGCACTCTTATCTTGACATTGACAACGCCATATGGCGATATAGCACCCAAAATTGTTGTTGTCTTGGCTCTTGTTAGTGGTTGAATAACCTCAGCCCGAACTCCCTTTTTTGATCAAGCCATTGTTCTTTTCAAATTAATATGGAATGCAGACTCATCAATGCAAACGCAATTACTGCTGTAATCCATGTCTGTTTGGCTCCATCTAGTTACCCAATCAAACCTCTTTTCAATGTTAATAGACGAGTTTCTTTCTTTCGAATGGAAGTGTGCTTTTTTAAAAGACAAGGCATATTTATCTGTCATGAAATTATAAACGGTAGTTTTTGTTACTTTCAGGTCGCTGAACTGACTAGTAAGACTTTCCATAGCCTGATCCAACGTTGCCGAAGGGCGGTCGATAAATGTTTCTTCCAAATGCTTTTTGTGCTCTTCATTCAACAAAGCTGGTCTCCCAGCCTTTTTCTCAGGCTTAACTGGTTCTAATTCATCCAAAGCCTTTGCTGTTTCATAGATCTGATCCTGATGTTTTTTCAACCAGTCATAAGCAGTTCGTCGGGCAACACCGAGTTGCTTTGCTGCTTTTCCTGCAGTTAATCCTTCTTCATAAACGAGATGAAAAAAATGACCTTTAACATCGTCTGCTTGCTTTTTATAATAAGCTGCTGATCCAGTTGAAGCCGAAGAACGGTTTTTTGGCGCTTTAGGTGTTGGCTTTGGCTTTTCAGGTAGTTTGAAATCCATGTAATTATCAAAGTCAACGGTGTCAGCGAGAGGATAAGCATCGGCATCGACATCCATTTCAACGGGTTCATTGCCATGCTCATCCACAACATTACCCTGTCCATCTTCGTGATAAAATTTGAGGTCCATCTTACTTCAATGAATTTCTAAGAATGAGCAAAATTTATTATTGAAACTGAGCAATTTGTTTTTAAAAAAGTGAGCAAAAAATAATTTGTGAAGTGGGCAAAAAATAAATAAAAAAGTGTGCGGAAATTGAAAAAAAAAGTGAGCAATTTTTTTCCTCAAGTGTGCGAATAATTTATGAAAATAGTGTACACCTGGTTGTGTAAGGAAACAGTAATAAAAATTTTATTTTGTATTTTGGCATTTTTGTAGTCCATTTTAGGACCGTTTATTTCTGGAGGCTTCACATTCCATGTCCACAAATTTGTCATTTTTAAGCGGTAGATTAATAATAAAAAAAATGACAACATTATTTTTGACAGAATTCAATTTAGGAAAAAAATATTGATAAAAAAACATTTTTAAAAAAAAAAAACGGAGCTTGTCTATATTAGTACATCTCCTATTTAAGATCTCAATATATTTTGTTTCAAGTCAGCAGCCTAAATCATACAAATCTGAGAATTCTGGTCCGTTATCCGTGAAGATCCAATAGGTTTGGGTACTCTGGTCCGTTATCCCTCAAAATCCGTTGGTTTCAGTGTACTCCGGTTCGTTATCCCTTAAAATCCGTTGACTTTAGGGTACTCCCGTCCGTTATCCCTCAAAATCCGTTGACTTCAGGGTACTGCGGTCCGTTATCCCTCAAAATCCGCTGACTTCAGGGTACTCCGGTCCGTTATCCCTCAAAATCCGTTGAATTCAGGTACTCCGGTCAGTTATCCGTTGTTATGCGAGACTTTAGGGAAATTTGGTCCGTTATCACTACAGATCCGACACTTACGGGTTCGCTTATTACATTTAACTAACAACCAAAATAGACTATAAGCATTTGGAAACGGTTCAAAAATGGTTCAAGCATTCTAAGCTTGTATGGGGATTATCGTAGTTAATTTCACATATAAGGTATGTCGCAAATCATATCGGAACGTCCTTCAACGTGCGTTGGTTTTCAAAAACGTATATCAGTGACCTCTAAACTACCCTAACTGTTTGAGTTTATTATATTTTGTAACGACATAACGTACTCATATCATACGGACACTTTGTGAACATTTTCTTTTTTCCGTCTTTTGTTATTATTAAGTTATTTATCTGGTTAAAAGTGTTTCATAAAAAATGTATAAGCTATTATCACTCTTATAAGAAGCTAAACCCTTCTTTTTTATAATGTTTACTGGAATATTTTATATCCCAAACAGGTCACACATTTTTGAGTCTACCACATTTTTGTTTTGTACAATGCTGCTCTAATCGTATCATTGCTTTGGAGACTGGTTTTAGTAATGGTGTATTTAACAGAGCTATAAACAGAATTAATCAAGACGACTCGTTCAAATTAGTGGGCCTGTGAGGAGTGGATCGGGGCAAGAGCAGAACACAATAATTATTATGGTGTGGACAAAAGAAACAGACATTATATATCTATTAGTATTAATACATATAAAAAGGATGAGAGTAGAAAACGTTTAATTCAAAGAAAACAAATAGATAAGATCTTGAATACAGAAATATCAACAAATAAACATGACCATAGTACCAGAGGAGTGTGTGGTGACCTAGCAAGGATATAGCCATATTAGAGCTAACAAAGGTTTATCCATGCTGATACCATTTGTGATATAAGCTTTACAATAAATGTCATAGTAAGAACTATAAGGATATTACATCACAAGTCTAATTTAGTACGTCTGAGAAATACTTAAAATTTAGTTTAAGGCAAAGAGATTTAAGAAGACTTAACATTTACTAGAAGTAATTTATGACAATAGTTTTTGACTGCTACTTATGATAGATTATTTATTGAAGTAAAAGAAACAACTAAAAGAAATGCAATTATGTGAGCAAAAGTTAAACGTGAATAGGAGGGAGAAAATGTTACCACCAAGTTGGTATGGATGAATTGAATGGAAAGACAACAAAAGAAACTACAACTACAACAAAATGACACACAACTACACTTCACAGCATACAATTAACGACTGCTAGATGTCAATGCTTAAGTTAAAACTTACCAGTGTGTCAAAAGTTAAAAGGAGAAAAGATAAAGTAAAGAAGAAGAAGAAAAAGAGAAGGGAAAACGATGATGCTTTCGCATACAACGTTTTATATTTGAAGGCAGGAACATGGCATAAAAAAAAAGGTGGAGTTACGAAAGTGACAAAATCACGTTACTTCAAATCAGAAGAAGACTAAATTAGTGGCTATGTAATAATCGTATACATTTTTGGTTAATCAATGATAACTTCAAGATGGCACTAGAGATATCAACACAGCAGACAGTCTTTTATATAGATACTGGTACATTTCATTTATTAATAAAAGACATTTTATGAACAGTCTGAAACTACTCCTATAGTCATTTTATAATTTTACTTTACCTTAAAACACAACAATATATACAATGCTACAAGTCCAAAAACGGCCATACTGAAGCCGAAATTTTGCACAGCATAAAGTAAATGGAGACATAGAACAACATTGAACTGAGAGTTTGTTTTTTCAAATGCAATTCCTACGATAGTTTGATCGTTTTGCGTTGAAGTTTTTGTTACATTGATAGCAACACCGGACAAATGTAGGAACGATACTTGCAAGAACATTATTCCAAGTAAAACAACAAGGTCTTTTTAATGGTTTTACTCTTGTTTCAAAGAACGGTGATCCCATTGACTTATTTATGTTTTAGTACCATACACCACGCGCTCTACACTATTCTTCCCTCTGAAGGCTTAGCCTTGACAAACATAGCACCCTGAATGAAAGTCGGAACAACATAAAGTTATAATGAATGTCTTCGAGGCTTTCTAACGTTACATTTCTAGGGCAAACTTGTTTATTCGGTTTTATAATTTTTATGAGTCTGAAGTTAGATGAATAGAGTATAATGTTAGACTCATCTTTTAGATATACGGTTACCAACATGTAAGAATCCGGTTTGAAAGATAATCGACACTAATCTTTGAGAGCATCGGCGGTTTTTTCTATATAAGATTATAGGAATTAATAAACAACTTCTAGTTGATGAGCGTTCAATTATCCGCATAGTAAATATTGGGGTGAAGGATGAGATTGTATCTTTCACTATTAGGAGCGAATTATCTGCTTGATACGGGAATATTCGAGTGGATGACTGTGGAAATCGGTGTAGATTTATAAAAATAAAAACAAGAAAATTATCAAACTTGCAAAAATTAACTAAGGCTTTATTAAACAAATAAAAAGGGGTGTTTATATACACATTATTTCAGACATTGATCACAGATGAGCTGATGACGGTCGTGGGTAGATTAATCCAGATAATACTCGGATGTAATGATCCCATATAGAAAGGCCATAATGAGATGTCAATAACAATAACAATAACATTCATTCTTAAACTGTGTATGTCTTGTAGCACAATATTCAGGGGAAAATGTAGTTCTTAATTCAGATAGCTGTGGCACCTCAATGTGGCTGATGTAACCTTTATATGTGTTCATATCAATGTTATTATTTAAATGTATGTCTTATACTTGTATGAAGGATGATATGAGATCAAGCCTGTACATAAAGTAAATGATCAGTATTTAATATAACAGTATCAATAAGAATTATATTTAGGATTATCAAATGGAAGATTTAAGAAGTGTAGATAGAGTCATATATTAGGTATATAGCCTCGATCACGACAATGACCCTATTTTGGGGATATTTATCAAATTTCCTAAGATAGTTAGCTTGTTTTGATATCTCATTAATATACATTCGGCGAATGTCAAGGGCGAAAAGGCGGCCGGAACAGACAGAAGAATGCTTGCTTCCACAAACAGAGTTGTTCACCGAATGAAATTTGACATTTTTCCACGAAAATAGCCAAAGCTCGTACCAAAATGATATAATCAGTTTTGACGACATAACTAATAAGTTTATGGAATAATTTACCAAGAATCAAGTGATGCAGTGTATAAAATATATTTTAATTAAGAGTTACTTCTAATTAACATGGTACTTCCATATTTTTTTTGGATGGAAAATGGAAACACGTGTTTAAGTACTAGCAATTACGGAGGAAGTTATTAAACGTATGGCCAATCGGTATGGTAGGTACTTTTATGCCAACAACCAGTACTGATAAATAATTTGAATAGTTTCAGCATGATAAAAGAGATATGTCCACTGCATATGGGGTAACCAGCAACGGAATTGCGACCATATTTATCTTGACAATTTTTTAAATATATAAAAAACCCGACAATATAACCAAAAAATATTTTCTCTGACAGTTGTAAAGGACTGAAGTCATATAGACAGTTTTAGGAAAAACTTGTACGTTCATGGAGCAAGTTTGAGAACAAAATACCAAGTAACCGTCACAAGCCAAAAGATGCTTTAGTAAAAGTATAATTCACATAAAGGCAAAAAAATATTTCTCAGAAGTCCCAAAAAATTTATAAAGACGTAGGAATAGTTTTAATAAAATGCCAATAGCCTGGGCTTTCTAATTAAATTGTTAAAAAACGTCTCTACCATTAAGGAGGTAAGACACGACATTGTCAAATATAGAAGCACAAACATACTTGTGTCAACTACACAAAACGTTTGACGAACACAGTAATACGCCTTTTTATAACAGTACTAGCTTCATATAGAGTATCTATCTATCAAACATTACGAACAGAGAACAATTATTGACCAGAAAACGACAGATTTTAGCAAAAATTGTCGACGTTGCAGAATACCTATTAATTATACCATGTGCTTAAACAAGTAGTACTTGTAATAGTTTCTTAATTGACTAGCTCGTGTTGAAACAAAATATGAACACCAAACAGTCATTGTTTTTGAAGTAAGTCTAAAATTGTTATATTAATAATTAAAAAACGCGTACAAATATTTGATTGACGATATCAAGTGATAGGGGAATATCTGTGACGGTGGTAGTACTTGGTAGGGCAGCTTTAATTAAAATGTAGAAATGAATCAGCAAATGACACAAAGTGAGCAATGAATTTACTAAAAACACGAACAGTCAGTAGTTGATGAAATTTTTTAACAAAGCAGCAACTTTTGGCACATTTAAATACTTCTGTCCCTTTCCAAAGACTCTGTCAAATACATACGAGATAGGCAGAACGTAAACTGACTTGGTAATGAACCAAATACGTTATAAAATAAATAAAAAAAAGGACACATAAACAAAAACAGACCAATATTTCTCAGAAATTGAAAGAACCTTCTAAGGAGATGGGAAAAAATTTGTTAGGTTTAGAATAATAATGTTTGAGCGTAAAATCAATTAAAAAAAGCGTAGAAAGGACCAGAGTCTGTTTGTATGTCAACTAGTATTTATAAATGGCGATTTATCACGAATTTATTTTTAAGTAAATTGAAGTCACGTGCAATATTAGCCGTAATAAGAAATCATCAAAAGGACAAGGCGATTATTTATACGCAAAACATCTACTTAGGGCCCTCACAAGCAACAAATTTTTTTTTTTAAAGATCCCGATTAAGGACTTTATTATTTTTTTTTTTTTTGTGAAAGGTTACTTCAGACTTCCAAAAGAAAGCTTTTTCCAAAATCCATGACGTTGCTTTTTAAGGACCCTTTTTGAACGATTAGAATATAAAGTTCACTCAAAATGCTAACCTATCTGTTATTATTTTTCATGGACTCTATTGTTTCGATATACTTTTTATTTCTAGAGAAAACAAAATGAACCTATCTCAAATTGTTACAGTAGTTGCTGAATCGCAATAAATTTTATTTGGACTTGATGATGATATGAATATGATTATGGAATCAGACATTTCTACACTTTACCGACAACAAAGTCTCCACTACAGTTTTATTGCATTCTCGATGTTGCCTGTTCCATCAGATCGTGAAACTCCCAGTGGGGAAGAGGTGCACTACCAGTAGAATTAGCATCGTCTCGTCTAGTTCTGAACGTATCACAGAGGCGAATCCACTTGTTATTCATCGCTGCAAATTCCCTTCTACCGTTGATAGCGTCACTGGCATTAAAAGCATCTTCCGTTGCCTTGTTCAAATTCAGCTTTGCTTGAGGTGAGCGAATAACACCCAAGTTTACAACGTAATCGGAAAACAACTCGATCAAAACGTTGGTGCTTGCTGAATCCCATATGACGATGGTAGTGTACTTTTGGAAAGGCATTTGGTTAAATAACATTGGATAGTTAATAATTGGTAAAGAAAAATGAAGAGGATCACAAACACAACTCTTTTATCAAAAAAAAAAAAACAAAAACATTGGTGAGTTCCGTAGCTCAATTTGGCTGATTTTTCATCTGATAGAAGGATTCTGGGGTCGTTGGATTTTAATCCTTTATTGGGATATTTCGAAAATTTTGGCACTGGAGAAAATTCGATGTTATTGTTAATCGCCTATATATATCCATTTAATTTTTTATTCATCTATTTGGCAAAATTGTAACCTTTCACAAAAAAAAAAATAAAAAAAAAACAATAATAAAGTCCTAAATCGGGATCTTTAAAAAAATAATTTTGTTGCTTGTGAGGGCCCTTAGAGTGTATTTATGGAATGACCACGCGTAAGAAAGTAATAACTCCAAAAGCATGAATAACAGCACGACTCTTTTTAACCATTTATGTGCATATTTTAACCAAACACAAAGATCTTCGGATCAGCATACAATAGTTGCAGTAACGATGGACAGGAAACATAAAATATCTGACAGTATATTTGAAGAAGTTCTTTGTGGGTTGATAATGACAAAATTTTTTTTGCAGTGTCTCGCCCCTGTTTGTACCAAGTAAAAGAAAGATTGATCGATGTCTGAGAAAAAAGTACCGACATGTCAAAAAAAAACAAACAACAGGTAAGTAATGAGCCTTTGAACAAAACCCGGAATGGAAGGCAGATTGAAGTAGTTTAAGATTTTATTAAATACTACGTACAACGCGAGCAGAATCTGAAGATAATGAATTGAATCCGTATTGAACTAAATGTCTCCATGAATAAGTAGAAAATAAAAATATCACAAAATATTGTTTTAAGACACTTTTATATGACCACAACAACAGCAGTAATTAAAACAACATCTTATACACTTCTCGCAAGAGTGTGAAAACGCGAAACTAAAGTGTGGTATCAATCAGAAAGAGATTGCCAGAAGGAAAATATTTTATGGAAAGACAGAAAAGTCTTTCTTAGAAGTTGAAAAGAATTTAAAAAGCTTATGAAAACATCGTAATAATCTAACTATGCCAAAAACCGTCACCCCAAGCTGTTTAAGCAACTACAAAAAGTCCATCGCCAAAAATGATCGAGTAAAGGACAAAATAATAAAGTAAGAACTATAAGATCGTAGATTCTTGTGCAAAATATAAGAAACGATATGTGACCACATAATTAAAGGTCTGTTTAATCGTTCTAGCACATAATAGGGGACGTCCTAGAAAATATAGTAAGGATTAAACAACATTAAACAAAGTACCAAACGTACGAAGGCAATATAGGAATTGGTGGAAGATACATATTCTATCAAAGGATCTTGTTCGTCAATGGTTTTTTAGATAATTTTAGCGTACGCCAGAGAAGCGTTCCACCAAGTACAACAAGTTTACAATCATCATACAATCGTGATAAAGTGTATATCGAGTAGTTACTGAGTACGAGATAAAGTTTTCATCGGACGTATAAATGAAATGAGACATGCTGAATAACGTCTAGTATTTCACATCGTCTTTTTGTGCGCAATTTATTGTTAATCCTTGCATATTCACAAAGTATAGACATAATAATTAAAAAGACGAGAATGGCCTAACTTTAGTTCGTTACGACAACATCCGGAAATGAAGGAGAAGCCGAATGGATATAGATTAAGATAGAGAGTATATCAACACACGCCATGTAAGAAAAACACCAATTGACGTATTGTTGGACTAAATACTTTATTGAAATCAAGAAAAAAAAGATAATATCATAAAATAATAGTTTCTTAGTGACGTTTATATGATGGGACCTTGATAAATCGCTCTCCCATGACATGCTATTAATCATCATAACTGTTAAGAACCAACCGTCTAAACATGGCGCACTAGCAGAAAGAAAGGCAAACAAAATAAATGTTTTACGTAAATATATACAAAAAAAATATTAAAAGTCTGAATGAATTTATAGCGTCATGGGAGCAGTGCAAATATATTCAGAATTGTCTGCAATATGTAAACAAAAGGCCAGACAGGTCTTGTTATCAAATAATTCCTAAATAAATGATGAAGTCATAAAATTTTATCAAGCCTAAAAGAGTGTACAGGTCACATTTAAGGAGAAATGTCATGCTACATATCATACATAGTTATGGATTTTAAAGAGAAACCCATATACGTTACTTGGAATGAAAATGGACAAGGACCAAAAAAATAAAATACCAGCAGAATATTAGGTGCTCTCAAGATCGGAAACCGAAAATAAATAGCCCATTTTTTATACAAAAATAGTGAAAAAAGTCTCTGAAATGTAGAGCTAAATTTGGGCAAAATAATACATATACATATAAGAGGCTTCCTGAGAAATATGCCGTCCAATATAAATTACTTTTTCTGAAAGCTCTGGAAATTCTGAACAAGAATATGCTAAAGAGAAAAAAATCGCACCGCAGGGTCTCGAGTAATTGGCTGTCAAAGTTTAAAATATGCTTGCTACGTGCACCTAAAAAAATCTTAAAGCTTAAGCCTGGGCCATTTTTAGCCCTATTAAAAAAATAAAAAAAATAATACCAATAAAACAAACAGGTACTCGGGTGTCGAACATACACTCTCGTCGATGCATGCTGCTCGCTTTGCCTGTTTGGCCACGGAGGGCTTAAAGATTCACTGTTCAAATACTTTATTTTAAATATTTTATTACTCTCGGCAGAAATTGACCAAAGGATATAAGAGGCTTCCTGAGAAATATGCCGTCCAATATAAATTACTTTTTCTGAAAGCTCTGGAAATTCTGAACAAGAATATGCTAAAGAGAAAAAAATCGCACCGCAGGGTCTCGAGTAATTGGCTGTCAAAGTTTAAAATATGCTTGCTACGTGCACCTAAAAAAATCTTAAAGCTTAAGCCTGGGCCATTTTTAGCCCTATTAAAAAAATAAAAAAAATAATACCAATAAAACAAACAGGTACTCGGGTGTCGAACATACACTCTCGTCGATGCATGCTGCTCGCTTTGCCTGTTTGGCCACGGAGGGCTTAAAGATTCACTGTTCAAATACTTTATTTTAAATATTTTATTACTCTCGGCAGAAATTGACCAAAGGATATAAGGGCTTTTTTGGGAATAATTTGATAGTTCTGGATATCCTTTTAAGGCGCTGATTTACCTGTAAAATGATAGGGGTTGATGCTCTATGTTGTGGTTTTCTGTCATAGATAAGCTTATACGGTGGACCTCGGAGCTTAAAACATTTTTAATTTTGAACTGTCGGATGTTCAATTTTTTGGTGTACTTTGGGTGTTCTCGGGTGTTTTCAAGCAAATTATTTAAAATTTTAAAATAAATCCTTTAATTAAAATCAAAAGTCACAAAAAAAACAACTCCAATTTGGCAAAATGCTAAACTGTCTTTTGTACATGCCACAGAGGCCAACGTTATTTTATTTCTTTCTTGTATTGTTATCAAGATAAACATACTTTACCTTTGCCTCTACCTATTTTACAAACACCTAGGCTAAAAAAACTTACTTAAACAGAGTAAATGCAGACGAATGGGCGAATAGTCGTCTGGGGGTAAGCATCCGTTCAAATCTGAGCGGATAGTCGTCCGTGAGCGAGTATCCGTTCATTTTGGGTAAATAAACAATGGTACACAAGAAATAAAATTACTTCATTTACTCAAAAAGGGTAAATATTCGTCCAGGGGTAACTGTTCGTTCATTTTGAGTAAAATATAAACGTTGCACAAAAATTTAAGCTTTTTTATTCGTTCCATTTACCTGCAGCAGACGAGTATTCGTCTATGGGCGAGTACTTACTCACATTGGGTAAATAAAAATTACTTTATTCGTTCCATTTACCTGCAGCAGACGAGCATTCGTCTATGGGCGAATACTTACTCAGATTGGGTGAATAAAAATTGAGATCCAAATCTTAAAATTACTCATTCATTCCATTTACCTGAAGCAGACGAGTATCTGTCTTAATGTCCTGTTGTCAAGAAGCCGCGTATGTCGTATTTGGGTATGATTTATTTGAGAATAAACAAATAAATCGAATAAAATGAAAACATGGAATAAAAACATCCTTTAATATTGAGTAACAGCATACACCTGTATACTGCTACACTACGACTCCTACTATGAGTACATATTTCTATATAAAAAGATTGCATGATTGGCTTAAAATCGATATACGAATGACAGTTGGGGTGTTCTCAAGCAAAAAAAATTTGTGAACCCCTCTTTTTGTAAAATCTTGGAACCCCCTCCATAAGGCAATTATAACCTTATATTTTCATACTCCTCAGCCAAAAAACGTCGAAAATTCTTGCTAACCATTTTAAAAGATAAACCACCATCAGGGGGTGGTTTAATTACGAAAATGGATTTACGAACCCCTCTGATGTAATGCTTTCATCATTCAAAAAATACTAAAATGCCCCCACTAGTTGACAGTATGATCATAATAATTTTTACTTTGTTGTTTTCTTTTCTTTATTTTTTGATATTCAAAACTAGCAAATAATATTAACTTTACCTTTATAAACAATGTTCGGTACCATCAACTTCAACGCCCCTTCCAGTTCAACTGCTTCCACCTCCAGTGCTCCTATTGAGGACGACAGAACAAGAGGTCCAAATTGGAGTGTAGCAGAAGAATGCTTGTTAATTCAAATTTATAATAAACATTTGAGTTCTCTTGAAAAAACCAAAAGTGATCACGAAAAGGGGGAGAAATACACGGAGATGTCGATTGAACATAATCAACTGGCTCGCCTTCAGAATTTGAGAAGTCGACCATCAGAGGAGCAAAAAAAAAATGGAAGCGTATGGTGAAAGATTTCAAGGAAGAGTTTGCTAGACGCCAATCAACGGGTGAATCAGGTTTCGAACCTGATGTTGTCTATGATAAGCTGAAAGAGATCTTGACGAAATTTCCCACCATCTTGCCACCACACACGTACTCATCCCATTCCAGACAGTTCGTTGACAATACTAATGGTGGAAATCAAGGATCATCTACAGCTCCAGCTGAATCTTCGTCTGTACCTATTGCAGAACATGAACGTCCTGCTCCTCCTCAGGAATCGCAACCACCTTCTTCTCGCAGAAGAGTGGAAACACCCCCTCCCGATCACGTCTCCAGTACTCCTCCTCCTCCTGTCAATCCTTCTACGACCTCACCACCCAATCCTTCTCCCGCCCCTCAACCTACCAATCCTTCTTCTGCGCCACCTCGTCGTCCAAGATCAAACGTAGGCTCTACACCATCTACCACGACCTCTGACACTGAAGCTATGCTTAATCGCATTGTTGATAGAGAGCACGAGCTTCGTAATGGAACATTTCGAGAGTTCAGAGAGTATATGGATTCACGATTAGGAAGAAGAGATCCTACGGGAGAAGCAATCATTGCTTCTTTAAACCGAGCTACAGCTGCTTTGGAACGAAACGGTGATAGATTAAACGAGTTGCATAATCGTATGCATCAACAAAGACCCAATCAATAAAGATATTCTTTTTTTAATACATATGTTAAATTACATTTGGTACCTCTTTATTGTCTAGGTTGAAACCATCGGTTCAACTCATCTCTTCTTGTACGAACAGACTCTCGAGCTGTTTCGCCATTCCCCTCTTCATCTTCATCCATCTCGATTCCCTCGTCAATTTCAAAATCTGGATCCCCAATGTTGATACAGAAATTGTGTAAGATACAAGCCGCAGTAATGACTTGGCATATATCTTTAATCTTCTTCATGTAGACGTGTTTTTTTATGAACCTCCATCTAGCTGAGAGTATTCCAAAAGCCCTTTCGATGGTCATTCTTGCTGAAGAGTGGACCTTGTTGAATTTGCGTTTGGCAACGGCCTCGTCAGAATTGCCTGATACTTCACTCAAAGGATATGGAACGATTACATTACGACAGAGAGCATATGCAGAATCTAAAGAGGGTGTGTAAGTAAATTATATGTTAACTTTATAGTCAGTATATAAATAACCTGCAAGAATGTAACCGTCCAAAGGGAAAAATGTTGCTGGCTGTCGTAAAAACTGGGTGTACACTTCAGTCCACTTGAAAGCACCTGCATCGTGGGTGCGACCTATAAATACATATCAGTAAGGCAATCAACATGTTATGAATATTTCGCTATTACCAGAGTCACCGACACGGATATACGTGAAACGGCATTTGTTGTCACAGATTGCTGTCAGTTTCATCGCAAAGTTACCCTTTCGATCACGCCAATGTTCTGGGTGATCTCTAGGACACTCAATTACAACATTTTTACCATCGAGTGCTCCTATTGCTTTGGGCAAACGACGGATAGCCCCTTCTTCTTGACCATGAGGCCATTCAAAACCCGTTTGAATTTCCTCAACCCTTTGCTGATCCATGGGCCAGTTGATCAGATCTCCGTATACCCCTTCGATTGCAACCAAAAATCTTCGGAAAAAGTTGATATAACTACCATGCGATACACCAAAAGCCATGTTACTAGTTCTGTAACCAATATGACAGTTGGCTAAGCGCCATATAGCACATGAAATCTGGATGTATGCGGGGATGCTGTTGTGGGCTAGCAGATCAAATGCTGGATGCTGACTGAGGTCGTTGACAAGTCTTTCGAAGCTGCTAAGATTCATGCGATACATTGCTCGAAAACTAGTGCGTGGATTGTCATCGTCAGCGAGAAAAGGGTGCGTGATTGTCCAGTAGTGATAGTTGGAAAACGTTCCATTGTTGTTTGGACGAACTCGAGTTGAACGTGTGCCAGTTAATAGGAAGGGTAAGGCATGAAAAAAGGAAGGTACATCAAAAACTGAAGAAAAATAAAAAAGAAAAGTTTCGTGAAGCAAGTTGATCTCCAACTGACGTTGTTCCATATACCACTGAATTGCGGCTACATTCATGTTAATGAGCGTCATTGATTCTTCGTAAACAGTTGTAAACTCATTGAGTGATTCTTCGAAAGTAGACATTTTGGCAAAGATAATAATAAATTTATGGAAAAAAATAATAAAAAGAAAAAAAAGTTACAGGAGGATAGTAATCTGACAAAAATCTGCCCTGATGTCATACACTATACCTAATTTGGGGGGGGGGGTTCCAAGATTTTACAAAAAGAGGGGTTCACAAATTTTTTTTGCTTGAGAACACCCTTGGATATAGAATTCTATACCACTGAGTTACGATATCACCGGTCGGGAAGAGAAGCTTCTCCGATCAAATCAAGAAATATAAGAAAGAGAAACTTAATATTAATAGTTCTCTCAATGGATTAGCTACCCATAGAGAGAATAGAACAGCTATTTATATAAATGGTTCATTTACTTATATATTGATAAATCCAACTTATACGACTGTAAGTGTATAAGAGAAGTAGTGCATGGAATATTTGGATGCCTATTTTCTACAACTAAATATACAAACATCGATAAGATGTTCTATATTTAGGATCACATATTTACCCATGTCTTAGATAAAAATAATCAACAGAATGGATAAATGATCAGACATAACTACATGTTCTACCACAGCCAATTAAACACAAAAACCTTATGCATCTTTTAACTAGCCACCGTTACACAATACCTTACTGGAATTCTGTATGTTAAACAGAACAATAAGAGTGTCCCAGATCGGTTGATCCAGGGCGACGTTATTTGAAATCAATTCTAACGAGTAGAATTCATTTAATGTAAGGCGGGAAACTGAGTATAGATTTATTACAAGACAAGAAAGGTTGACTCAACACAACTACCAGGGGAAGTTGTTCAATATAAAAAGGATCAATTATTTCATCGCAGCAGAGTTCTTTTAGTCTATTTTTACCTCGAATAAAGATATACTTTTTTCTCATTACTTTTTCTTTGTAATATTTTTGTCAAATACCACAGCGTATACAAAAAAATTTATCTGCCTCCAGTCATCCCTCCGTCGTAACATCAACCTCTAAAAAGTACATATAAACGGAGTCTTTTTTTTTCCTTTTCTTTTTCTTTTTTCTTTTTCTTTTTTTAATAGCTATTTTTTATCTTTTTACCTCAATAAATCAGTTTTTTTATAAAAAAAAGTTTACTTTTATTCGTTCTTGTTTCTCGTAACCATGTAACTGAATAAACGTCTGGGCTTACTTCTTTTGCAATTACACTCTGGTAAACTCACCATTCCGTCTCTGAAGTCCCTCCCCTTACTTATCTCTCTTTAAAATCAGCATAGACAGGTGTATAAAGGCCGTGCTTGCAGTGTACTACGCCAGTGCTATAAGTAAGTGTTTTTTGTTTATGGCTTTTCCTTTCTCTAATTATCTCTTCAGACTTACGCTTCCTGCTTTTACCGTTGTGGCGGCAACTCTGTTTAGAAAAGGAATTAGTACGTATCAATTTTGAGTCTTCTTATCATAAACTAACCTAATATTCATTTAGAAAACTTTGGTTATCCCCCTTGTTTTTAGATTATACGTTGCTTTCTATACAGAATAATCAATGCCTTCATGTTATGCCATGTACCGTTTACCTTTTAGCTCATTTAAGTAGTAATCCTTCTACATAGCAATTTTTTCTCAAGTATTAAAATATAAATTAATCTTACTTTCATTCTTATAAATAAAATATATAATCA